TTGGCTTATTAATGCCTATAATTTTTGATTTTGAAAGTTTTATTTGTACAAATAGTGAAGGTTTACTTATTTTTTTCTGTTGGTTGGTTTACACAGACACAAATCCTTATGTCTGTATTTCCCCTGCCCCATAGATTGTTGAAAACTTTAAATTTTGGTTCCTGAAAGGACTTGAGTAAGTATAGTATAGCATTATTTAGTATAGCAGTTTTTTTGTGGAAAGCCAGTAAATTTCAATATTTCAGTATTATAAGAAATTATGTAGTATTTCTTTAGACTCTTAATAGTGTATTTTTTCTTTTTTTTAAATTTTTTTTATTTCAACATATGGGGGTGCAAATGTTGTTTAGGTAATGTATATTGCCCTTGCCCCACCCGAGTCAGAGCATCAAGCCTGTCTATATTTTTCTCATTAATTATAAAATCTTAATTTTACTTATGTTCTCCTTCAGTTTACTAATTTATATTCATTTTGCCATTACATGACATGCTATGTTTATTGAGTGATTTTCAGGAATTTAAAACAATAACATATTTTATAATACATAATGGACTATATAACGTATTATATAGTAAAATATTCATTCTCCTATGTCCCAGAGTCTTCCCCAGAGATAGTCTTGTTGCTTTCTGTTGCTGTTGCTCTTAGAAGTAGTCTGTACATATGCATATATAGTCATACCCTGCTCTTTTATTTTCTACAAATGGTACATTTTAATCTGCCCTGTGCTTTTCTTTGCTTAGCAGTGTAGCTTGTCAGTCTTCTCATATTGTTACATATGGGGTTTCTTTTCTTTTTTTTTTTTTTGGGGTTCCTTTTCTTTGAAATAATTTGCGTAATATTCCTTTATAAGAATGTACAACAATTTATTTAATCTGTACTCTCTTAACAGGTATTTTAAGTTGCTCTCAATCTCTGCTGTGCCAAGTGTACAAGTATACCTAGAAGTAGAATTGCCAGGTCAAAGCATATGCACGTTTAAAATTTTAATAGATATTGCCAAATTATACTTACTTCATTAACATATGTTAAGTATTGCTTTCCATAATCTTATCAAAGCAGTTTGGTTTTTGCAGAGCTTTTGGGTGAAAATTAGTGTGCCTTTTGTTATAGCTTTGGTTTTTATCTTATTTTGAAGGTGGTTGAGCATCTTTTCAAAGGATTTTGTAGTAGACATTTGTATTTCCTTTTTTGTGAACTGTCTGCTTATATGTTTTTTGGTGGTTGATTCCCCCCTTGACTTATTAAAAAATAATTACACCCCCACTGTAATGACTGGCTTAAAAAAAAATAAAAATAAATTAATTTAATTAATTAATTTATTTTTTAGATATGGGATCTCACTATTTTTGGCCAGGCTGGCCTCAAACTCCTGGGCCCAAGCGATCTTCTCTCCTCAGCTTCCTAAGTAGGACTACAGGTGTGCACCACAGCATCCAGCTTCCATTGACTTTATTTTATTTTATTTTATTTTATTTTTTTTTTGAGACAGAGTCTCACTTTGTTGCCCAGGCTAGAGTGAGTGCCGTGGCGTCAGCCTAGCTCACAGCAACCTCAAACTCCTGGCTCAAGCAATCCTCCTGCCTCAGCCTCCCAAGTAGCTGGGACTACAGGCATTCGCCACCATGCCCGGCTAATTTTTTGTATATATATATTAGTTGGCCAATTAATTTCTTTCTATTTATAGTGGAGACGGGGTCTCGCTCTTGCTCAGGCTGGTTTCGAACTCCTGACCTTGAGCAATCCGCCCGCCTTGGCCTCCCAGAGAGCTAGGATTACAGGCGTGAGCCACCGCGCCCGGCCCATTGACTTGATTTTAATTCATTGCAGTTACTATTACTCTGTTCTGTATATTAAATAGGATAAAATCTAATTCATTAGATGGAAGCCTTTGGTGGATTCAGTAAAGGTGGGAGAAGAGGAATGTTGACAATTTCTTTTCTCATTAAGCTTCCATCAATTCTTGTACCTGAAAAGCTGGTTGCCTTCAATTATACATTGTTTTTTTTTCCTCTTTTATTATTAAAATAAAGTTTTAGCCCAGAACTCAGAAGAAGATGAATTATACATTGTTGTGATGTCTGATTGTAGACTGAAAATTCAGTTTGATTTATTCATAATATTAAAAGCTAATTTTTAACTTAACACAAGTAAGATTTTCCTAGCCATCTTTGGTTAGTTCATTTTATTGGATTTATTTGTATTATTAATAGAAAATCTTATAGGCATGCTTTTACAGAGAAAATTAAGATTGCTTTCTATAATACTGTCAAAAATATATTGCTCCCATATTCCAGCCTTTGTTTTTTCCTTAAACTAACGAAACTATTAGAATTCTATAGCTATTCTATACTGCCAAAATTGGATATTCATATTCCCCTCCCTCGCCCCAAACTCCCTTAGTATTGCATTATGAGAGGTGACAAAAATCTTTTTTTTTTTTTTTCTTTTTTTTTTTTTTAACAGCCACTCTTACCTGGAACAAAAATCTTTTGACATATGTCTTTTTGAAACATTTTCCTTCTTCACATATTTGTGCATCTGGACTTGTTGCCATGCTTTCTTTGTACTAAAAAGCCGTAACTTAGTCACTGGACCATTTTTACTTCTTTCTTATGATGGTTCTTCTACACATTGGATGGTTCACAGTTCTTGGCACTCAGAACCTGCTCCATGATTACTTCACTTTCTTTTGGTTCTGCTCTTTTAACCATTTGGCATCTACTCCAGAGGTTTGTCAGGCTACTATCTGCTGCCAGCTAGCCTGTTTTTGTAAATAAAATTGACACACTCATACATTTATATTTCTATACTATGGCTGTGGAATTGAGTAATTAGTTGTAAAAGAAATCTGTGACCAAAAGGCCAAAAATATTTGTCTGGTCCATTACAGGAAAAGTTTGCCAATTCCTAATTTAGTGTATCACCATTTCATATAAATGGTCTGTTTTCCTGTACTTTATTTTCATCTTCTCTCTCTCTCTCTCTCTCTCTCTGTCTTTTTTTTAAAAATAGAGAACAGGGTTTCCCTCTTGCTCAGGCTGGTCTCAGACTCCTGACCTCAAGTGATCCTCTCCTGTCTCTGCATCCCAGAGTGCTGGGATTATAGGAGTGAGCCACTGCGCTTGGCTATTCTTCTCTGTTTGCCTTATTTACCTTGTTTTCTGCCTGTTTGGTTTCTGTTTTCATCTGTTCTTACAGCTGTGTACCTGTGGACTCTGTAATGCCCTTTATTCACCCTTTACCCAGAATGTGTCAGTTCTCAACTAGGAATCATTTTTTACTTTTATGAAAAGAATACATCTTCCTTTCTGCATCCCCAACCTGAAAAATGGTGATAGAACTTTTAATTTCAAATTTTACAAAGGTGCCTTTGTATTAAAATAAATTTATAGAATTAAAAACAAAATCAGGAGTCGCTTGTTTCAGGGATTGTTGAGTGTGTTTTTATAGGATTGTTCATTTAACACTTTTCAGTTAAAAACCACTTCGTTGAACACAGAGGAGATGTAAGCTCTAAGAATGTAGAAAAGCAAAAAACTAATGTTATACAAACCATTCTCTAGGAAATAGGAGTAGCTTTGTGGATTGGTCTTTTAAACTATTAATTAAAACGAATCTTTTCTATTTCTTACTATATGAGAATGAAGAAGTATTTGTGGTCTATGGATCTTCCTACCTTAAATGATGATTAATTAATTGAACCTTTAAATAGCTTTGGAAATTAAAGGTAGGGCTTTGTATTTTTTTTGAAAGAAAATCTCATTGTTTGGAAGAAACATTGCCTTCACTATTTTTTTTTTCCCCCCTTTTGGTCACTTATATATATATATATTTTTCCTTTAAGATCCTGGAAAGTATTTGTGTTGAAGAATAAAGATTTACTCCTTCCTTATCTTTTCTATTACTTCCTAATAACATAAAAACCATAATTCTTCTATTTCTTGTTTAGTGGCTTATAGAAGAGATGAAATGTGGTCTGAGGGACGATATGACTATGAACGACTTCCAAGAGAACGAGTACCTCCTAGAAGTCACCCCAGTGTAAGTTACTTCTACATACAGAATAATTCAAAGCTTAGTGTATAAGTGTATAAGTTATTTTGCTATATCAAATCTTCAAGTGCCAGAAATTTACCAGTTTAGATTCAGACTTATCTTTTAAAAGTTCAAAAATAAGGGGCAACATTTTAAGTGGAAAATCTATTATTTGTGTTTCTTTAAATTTCTAAAATTAAGAGTTTATATTGAATTTGTGAAGAAAATTGTAGGTTTTATAAAGGTCATATTATCAGTTAGCAAAGAAGTATTTGAGCACCTGCTCCAACTGTTAACTGCCACTTATTTTTCTATATTCCTAAAAATATTTGCAAATTGAATATGTGAAATTCTAAAAGTAGGCTGTCTTTTTCGGAGATGATAATGCTCTTCCTAGAGCAGAAATAGGTATGCTACCCTGTGACCAGACAGTCTGGTAAGAATGCCTGGGGGCTCCACTGCAGGCAGCACCACTCACTCTTGGTTGCTCTGGGAGTTAGGAATTTTGAGCCAAGCCTTTTCTAAGCCCAAGGAGCTTGCTGTTTTGTTTACTATTCCCAGCACTATATCTGGTGTCTAATATAATAGGAGCTCAACATTTGAATGAATATGTGTACTCTGTCCCCAGAATCCTCTATGGAGGTCTAAGGGAGGGTTTGGGGAAGGTCAAGAAGCTGATAACTTAAACTTTGGCACAGGCCCCGTTCCAAGCACCATGGGATTGGGGTTGTATAGTATACATGGCTGTATTATGGATTCATTGTATACCATCAGAAGGCACAATATTTGTTTATATGTTAGTAGTTTTTTACATGCATATTATTTAATCCTACAATCCACATAGATGGGTAGAAGAGTCATCTTTGGGGTTGTTGTTGGCATGCATTACAGCTCAGGTTGAAGTTGATTTAAAATGATTTAAAATGGAAAAAATGAAGAAGCCCACTATATTTCAGGATAAGCAGATTTAATTATTACTTTATGTCATTTCTTTCCAGGTTAATTAATAGTCTAACCAAAAGCCTAATGTTTTTATTTTTATTAAAATTATTCTGTACTTTACTTGGAAGGATAAACAAATGATATAGGTAAATATGATATAGAAGTAATGTAAGGTTGGGAAAAGGGATGACTTTTCTCTATATATTTTAAGAACTTCTCTACTCTACCAAGGATATATAGCATTAGTAATTTTAAATACTGTGTTTCAAAGACACTTAATAGAATTTTTGTGTGGTTATGCCATCAGTGGAGCACCAGTGTGCAGGATTGTATGCTTTATTACTTTGGGAGTGGGGAAAGCAGATTGTTGTATTGATTTAAGATGAGTGGTAGAGCCAGAGAGATGAGAATTTTGAGGATACTGATCAAGAAGATTATTGAGGTAATGTACTTGTGGTATGGGCTGATTAAGAAAGGGAGCAAGGCCTGTGAGAGGGACAGTAGGTTGAAAGAAGTGAGGAGTTGTGGGCCGGGAAAGGCTTAGTGAGATTGAAAGCCGTGGTGTGGCAGAAAGAAAGGCAATTGATATTTCAGAGGGTGGGGTTTCCAAGATGGACCAGTTCTGGGTGAAGTTCAGCATGGGGTGGTGGGAAAAAAGACTTGTAAGTTATTGGAGTTGAGAGAAGAAAATGTTGAGGCTAAATTTGGATTAGAGGCTGTTAATCCTAGCTGCATGTTAAAATCTCCTAGAGACCTCTTCAGTACCACTGTATGGGCCCCTTCCCAGATAATTAAATCATCATCTCTGTGGGTGGGGTCTGGACATCAGTATTGTTTAAAAGTTCACCAGGTAAATCTTATAAGCATAGTTAAGAAATACAGATGTAGACAAAGATTGAGGTCACTGTTATTGATAGGAGTTGCGATAAAGATGACAGGTGATAGAAGTCCTCAATAAGTGAGTAAATTGGAGAAAAATCTAAACAAAACCAAGTGTTTTCATTTAATACCATTTGTGTATTGTATAAATATCAAACAGGCTTTTTTCCCTTAGAAAATAATTTCATTAGCAGCAAGCAGGTAGGGAGATAGGTTTTATACCACAACTATCCTTAAAAATCAGACTAAGTGTACTTAACTGTTAAATGCCTAAAGGTAAATCTCACTTTAAGTTTTGAGAGCAGAGAACCTACCTAGACCTTGCACATTCATTCCTCTCCTAAATTTTCTTCTTTTAATTCTGTTAGATTTGTCTGTTCACCCCACTAGTCAATTTCCTAGTTTAAGAATCCTTCTGTATTCCTGTATCACTCATTCCTAAGACTCAGATAACATTTTTTTCTGGTGAACTTGGCTTTATTTTGGTTTGTAATTTAAAGCTTCCTCTTGCCCTTGATACATTATGCTCCTTAGATGGCTTTTGGGAATTATCCCTTTGCCTTCTATGTTGCACCCACATTTTAGTTAAATAAAGTGTAGGTTCTTAACTTTTTTTGTGCTATGGATTCCTTTAGCAGTCTGGTGAAGCCTCTGGATCCTTTCTCAGAATAACATTTTTAAATCTATAAATAAAATGCACAAAATTAAAAAAAGACTACTTACATTTAAATATAATTGTCAAACTAGTAAAACCCAAATTTGTAATACAGCAGTATGTATTTCTCTAGTAGATCACTAAATATCAAGAACTAATGATGGGGGTTTCTTTTTTATAATTTCAAAGTGGTGATGAGTATAAATGATATCTTGAGATATCGGTAACACCTGTAACATGATATGAAAATATCTGATTTATGTTGGTGACAAGTCACAGATAGAGTTATCGTTAGTTGCCTATATTTAGTTGAAAAAAGTAATTTTATATTTACATCTGATTTAATGGATCCACTGAATCTTTTGGTTAAAATGTTTGATACTAAAACTAGAAATGTAAATAAAGTTATAACTTCTGTCTTTGGAGCTAATAAAAACATAACTTATTAGAAGTTTAAAAATATGTGCTTATAAATCTGAGATCATCTAATGTTATTTTGAAAACCATATTGGCTTATCACATTGACTTGTGTAAGAATGTTCAGAAGCATCCTTAATTATAAGAGCTTCAAACAGGCAGCAAGTCAGATGTCCAGTAGTAGAGTTGATAAATTAATTGTGCAAATTATACAGCAATGAGAAGAAATGGACTACTGCCAGAAGCAACAACATGGGTGAACCTCACAAACATAATATTGAAAGAAGGATGGCAGTCACAAGAATATATCCTATATGTTTCCTTTTATGTAAAAGTTCTTAAACAGGCAAAACTAGCAAGGAAAGTAGTTACTTTTGAGAGGAGAAGGTAGTGCCTGGGAGACAGCATAAGAAAGGATTTTCCTGTTCTGGGAATGTTCAGTTTCTTAATCTGGGTTGTACTTACACAGCATATTTATTTGCCTTGTGAAAATTTACCCAGCAGTACATTTGTGGTTGTATACTTTTTTTGTATACTTTTTTTCTTTTCATACCTGAATAGAAAGTTTAAAGTTTTGAAAAGGCAGAAGATTGTTTTTTTTTTTCTTTCTAAATATTAACATAAAACTTGGCTAGGCGTGGTGGGTAATGCCTGAAATCCTAGCACTTTGGGAGGCTGAGGTGGGAGGATTGCTTGAGCCCAGGAGTTAGAAAGACCAGACTAGGCAGCATAGCGACTCTATCTCTACAAAAAAAAATTTAGCTTGGATGTGTTGCCTTGTTGCATCTTGGTTAAGTTTTTTAGCTACTCAGGTGCGATGTGAAAGGGCAGAAAAGAGATTCTTTAGGGCGCCCAGGGGTTTTTTGAAGGTTGCCTGTGACACTATGATCCATCTACTACCTTTTTTGTTTGCTTGGGTGTTGTGGCTCGTCCTTGTAATCCTTAGGCACATACATTGGAAAGGCTTGAGGTGGGAGGGATTCGCTTTTTTAAGGACCAGGATGTGGAGACCAGCCGAAGGCAAAGAAGTTGACGACGCCCCCATCAATCTAGCAAAAAAAATATGAAGAATTAAAATTAGTCCAGGGCCGTGGTGGTGTTGTACAGTAGTCCAGCCTTGATCCTACAGGAAGGTATTTAACGAACAAGAAAGTCTTTGCCCTTTTGAGCCCAAGGAATTTTGAAGGTTTTTTGTTAGTGAGGCGCTAATGATGCAACCACTCTTGTATTCTAGCCTGGGAAAACAGATATGAGGATCATGTTCTCAGAAAATTATGGATTGTATTAATGTTTTGAAATATGCTTTCTTTTTTCTATTTTTTATTTCATGAAATTTACATCAAAATCTTGTTGCATGCTATTTCTTAATTTTTTTTTTTGTTTATTTTTTTTTTTTTTTTATACCTGCAGATTGTTATTGTTTTTTTATTACAATATCATGTAACAGTTACCATGAACGTTTAACAATTTTTCCCCCAATATTATCGATAGTCTGTTTAAACAGATAAAGATTGAAAGAATTCTTTTTCTGCAGTGAATATGCAATTATACTCATCAGCTTTAGGCGCTAACTGTTTAAACATTTTTGTTTTACTTCAAATGCTTTATCATTGTAATTTTTATTTCGTTTTTTATTAAATCCATGTAATTTTTTGGATGCATATTTTTCAAAGGCAAATTTTGTTTATGGGACAAACAGTAAATTCTTCCCACTTTAAACTACCTAAGCATATTAGTTAGAGTTGAACATTTTTTAGTGTCTTTTTTTTTTAAAATGGGAAAAATTGGCATTGTGAATATGTTAATAGGTTGTATTTTTGCTATGAGTTTTTGTTTTCTTGATTAGTAACTGTTTTTTTCCCCTGTTTGTAGAGTTATTGCCCTAGGAAAGAAATGTTTTTACTATCTTTGTCTGACAGAATTGTTAAAGCAAACTTACTTTTCGTTGCTCACTATTTTTTTTAGAAGATCAGAGTATGATTGAATTCTTCCGGCCTACATCTTCAGTTTTTTTTTCCTTGGATCAGTTTAGCCAGTTTTTTTGCCACTTATTTTTTGATCCACATGATCTTTTTCGCAAAAACCATCGGAAATGACCCAGAAAATACACCAA